TAGTTTAAAGGTGAAGTTAGTTTAAAGGGGGAGTTAGTTTAAAGGTGAAGTTAGTTTAAAGGTGAAGTTAGTTTAAAGATGGAGTTAGTTTAAAGGTGAAGTTAGTTTAAAGGTGAAGTTAGTTTAAAGGTGGAGTTGGTTTAAAGGTGAAGTTAGTTTAAAGGTGGAGTTGGTTTAAAGGTGAAGTTAGTTTAAAGGGGGAGTTAGTTTAAAGGTGTATCCCAAAAAGTTCAATCTGGTCCTCTGGACATTCAAAAAAAACAAAAAACAAAACAAAGCAAAAAAATAAAAATATAGAAACGTTTCGTCTCTCATCCGAGAGACTTCCTCAGTCTGAGGTGCTGTATTCAGCTCAGTCTCTTAAATAGCACCTTCTCAGAGTGGATCAACCAGTTTTGCTGCTGACAACCAAAACCAGCTGATCACATGCTCAAGAAGGACCATCAGCCTAACAATGGGTCATTAGCACACTGATGGCTGTGTACTATTCACAGAATAGTAAGGCCAGGACTCTGCGGTCTACACTCATCTCCAGGCCAGCGGTCACTCTTTCAAGGATGAAGATGTTCACATCCTGGACAGAGAGGAACGATGGTTTGAGAGAGGAGTAAAGGAGGCCATCTTTGTGAAAAGAAATTGTTCATCATTAAACAGGGGTGGAGGCCTCCGTGTTCAATTGTCCCCCTCTTACAATGCTGTGATTGCTAGTATCACTCAGCCCTCTGTGAATAGTAAACAGCCATCAGTGTGCTAATGACCCATTGTTAGGCTGATGGTCCTTCTTGAGCATGTGATCAGCTGGTTTTGGTTGTCAGCAGCAAACTGGTTGATCCACTCTGAGAAGGTGCTATTTAAGAGACTGAGCTGAAAACAGCACCTCAGACTGAGGAAGTCTCTCGGATGAGAGACGAAACGTTTCTACATTTTTTTGCTTTGTTTTGTTTTTTTGAATGTCCAGAGGACCAGATTGAACTTTTTTGGATTTTTCTTCCTGGATTATTGAGCATGCATCAGGATATTTAAAGGTGTATATGGGAGTTTAAATAAATAAAAATGACAGCCGTCAACGGAAACCCTGTTTTTAGGTATGAGACATAATCACGGTCCATGAATTGTTCTTTTGACATCTTTTTATGGATAGAACTTGATAAAACAAAGAGACTGAGACTTAAGGTTGTCTAGATGGGTAAAGAAATAAGTTATGGCAATTTTAGTCTAAAAAAACTATTTTCCCCTTTGTTTTAACATTGAAAACCAAAAAAAACCAGCTAGACCTGCAACAAGCAACAAATTAACATAACTTGCTTATTTCTTAAGATAACTGGATGAATTTTTTTGAAGAAGTAGGAAATTACTTGTTTCTTTTACTTTGAGTAACTAAATTTATTATCCAAGTAATTGATAACTGTTAACTGTATAATCCAGGACATTCATACAAACTAAATAGGCACTAATCCTCAAACTAAATGAAAGAGGAAAAAAGATTAAAGGATCAAAGAGAAGCCTCTCGTTGTTTTGCGTCGTTCTTCACGGCATCGTCATGTTCAGGGTCTCAAACACAGCATTCTCAACATCACATCGTCATGAAAGTCGGTCAGTATTTAGATATATTTTAATGCTCTCTACCTTTGAGTGCTGTGAACCCAAACATGCTTTTTAAGATTGTTGACGTAGAACAACATTTTCATCCCCTGCGAACTGCATGAAAAAAAATAAAACAGCAAGCTACCCATCAAAAAACGTGGTGTAAAGAGTAACTTTGTCACAGTAAAAATTCAGAGGGACATACCTCGAGGGGCTGATGAAAAAGCAAAAATCTGATGAAATCTTATAAGACACAATGCGAACATACAGTGATGCGGGATTGTCGTGTACAGTTTTAGTCACTTTAAGATCAGGGCCTTATTCTTACAGATTAGTATTCAAGGATTGCTGGGTTTGAGCAGCTGCATCTGGATCTTTGCTACTTATTAAAACTCGTTAAAAAGAATAAATCTGTCCTGCAGAAAAACAAAAGGTCTGATGCCACATTCAGTAATATCCAGAAAATAGAAAGTTTAATGACTTGAACAGATTGTGTCAGTCTATCATTATTCAAGAGAAAATCACTTTTAAAAAGCTACTTGTTTTAGGCATAACTCAGTTTTGAAGCTTAAGTTATTTTAACTCAAGCGTGTGTACAGAACTGGTTTGAGCTGAAGTCAAACCTGTTCAATATCAGACTATATAAACTTTATATTCAGCAGATGTCTGCTGTATGGTTTGATGAATCTCGTCGTTTGTGTCAGCCCTTAAGAGACGTTTTCTTCCACTGTAAAGGAAACAGCCGAAGGAGACGATGAGGAGGAGGGCACCTCCGGTCAGCCTTCCTCTAAAAGACTGAAGGTGGAGCCGGAGAAGAAGAAGGAGAAGCGCCACAAGGTTGATGAGGACGAGATACAAAAGATGCAGTGAGACAACTTTTAACTCTGCTCACATGTATTGTGTTTAAACTCTTCAGCCAATTTATTTTCTGCAAGTCTTCGCTGTCATCTCACCCCCATGCTTTAGGGTTTTGGTGTCGTCCTTCTCAGAAGAGCAGCTGAATCGTTATGAGATGTACAGACGCTCTGCCTTTCCAAAGGCTGCCATTAAAAGGGTGAGCTTTCTATAAAAATGCAACTTTAAAAAAATCCTTAAAACTAAATTATCTTTTGTTTTTTTTAGCTGATCCAGTCCATAACAGGTTCATCAGTGTCCCAAAATGTGGTTATTGCGATGTCTGGTATCGCCAAGGTTTTTGTTGGGGAAATAGTTGAGGAAGGTAAGCTATGGATTTACAAAACTAGCCATTCATATTAAATAAATTAAAACAAATTATAACCATCACTTAAATGTCCCCCTCCTTTTAATAGCTCTGGACGTTTGTGAGAAGTGGGGAGACACACCACCGCTACAGCCCAAACACATGAGGGAGGCAGTGAGGAGGCTGAAGACCAGAGATCGGATCCCAAACTCAAAATATAAACAAATCGTGTTCCACTGAGGACGAAGTGATCCACGTGGAAACTCACATGAAGCAGCTCTTCTGTGCTCCCACCATCTTACTTTACTTTTACCCGGCGGATTTTAAATCTCCAAGAGCAGTCGAGGAAACTGTGACTTAAAGGCAGCAGGTGAAATGTTAAATAATGTAAATACAAAGTGTTTAAATCTGGTCTCATTTACCCCAAGTGTTGTTTTCTACAGTAATGTAACGTGGTTATCAGATTTGTTTTTACTAAACTGGTTCTTTAAAATTAAACTGGACTCTGAGGCTGGTTCAAGTTAAAATACTGCAATAAAAAGACAAAGCCAGGATGTGTTGAGCATTTTATTTTCTAACTTAACAAGCTTTGGTTCACAGAACCAGTTTACATTAGTGCTAATGAAGTGATAACGCTACAAAATGTAATGTTCCACAACTGACAAAAAAAATAAAAATACTGTCCAACTATTATTTCTCTGTGCTGCTTCAAATATTTTTAGGACTCCTTTGCAATCATTTGAAGTGACTGACATTAAAACCAGTGCAAGTTGCAGTGAATTAGCCTCACGAGGCATCGGTAACAAAAATCACTTCAGTACATGCATGTGGAGCAGAGGAAACCCCTGTGACTGCGCTCCGTTCATCGTCTGGCTCGTCTCAAGAGGGGAAGAGATTCGTCGTCATGGAAACCACCAGTCTGCTCGAATGCAAAGGAAGTCCAGTGTAACAGGTTGTGAGGAAATTTACCATAAAGCACCAGTTTGTCAGAGGAACGGAGATGCTACTTCACACAGAGTCCTTGCCAGAGAGGAAGGAAGCTGAGGAGAACTTCAGAGCTACATGTGGTCAGCGTGGCACATTCAGCTTCTTACCTTCACACTTGTCTATTAAGGCCATGCAGAACCAGCAACGGTTCATAAAAACACAAACACGTGCATGTTGGGAGGTTGCATGCAGCAGCGGGAATAAATGAAACAGGTTATACTAAGAACTGAACTCCACGTAAAGAGAAGTGTTTCAAGTAAACTGTTTTCCTATTAATGGATAACATTCATGTTTAAGAACACAAACCTGTTCTTAGCCTCAGTTTAAATGAGACACATCTGCCACCAGATGTCTCCCACGTACCTTTACTGTACAGAGTCTGCTCAAAGGATTAGAAAAACCCTGTTACTGAGTTCACAATCAGTCAAATGAACAAAGAACCACTTTTACCAAAAAATAACACCCTGACATCAACATCACACCGTTTTCTCCATTAAAGCAAACAGCATGGTGGTAAACAAACATTACTGATGTTTGTTTAGCAAATCAAGTGTTTTCTATTAATTTAGTTTGATATATCACATTCTTTAAATACTTTTGAGTGATATGGCTTCAATTTGTGGTTGCACATCTGATAACGAGTAGCGAACAAAGAAGTAACAGCCTGTGGTGTCCGACCCGTCATGATTCAGGAGTTGTTCTGGGGAGCTACAAACTATTTTACTGAGACTCCTGTACTCAGACCTCTTCAGAGCAATTATTAATAATAATTACAACTTTGTGTTGTGGAGGTGGAGGGACAGTGTAAGAAGTTGTCTTTCGTGGACTGAGCAGATCGTTTCACAGTATAAAAGAAACACGACCGTTTCACACGTCATAAAACAACAAAGATACTGGAAAACAATCCAGCGTGCTTTGTGAGAACAATAACTTGATAAATGTGGATAAATAATCCACCTGACGATAAAACAATACAAATGGAAACTCATATTCTCAGTAAACAGTGGAGGCTTGCTTTCTTAATGAAAAAGTGCATTGTTTTTTTTCCTCGACTTATTACAAAACAATTATACTCAACACTTCAAATTAAAAGGAAACATAAATCTCATGATGTACACTCAACAACAGTAAACGATACCGATAAGCTGATTCTTTTAAATGTGCTACATTTGAACTTCCTTCAGCACGGATCACTAAGCATGCTTTGTAAAAGAAGGGACTGAGGAACAAGCAGCTGGAGGGCAGTGTCTGTGCAAAATTTCCATAACACAAATAACCAAGTGGAAAGAATTAAAGCTTGATCGTTTTGCATGCTGTTTTACACTGAAACCACACGACGACATTACAGATTACAGAGATTACAGTCCACACTGATGTGGATGAGATAAAAAAAAAAAAAAAAACCAGTAGTTTTTGTTTAGCACATCTAGTCAGAGAAAAACTGACCAACACAGTACCGTTAATGTACGTAAACGTTAATTCACTGAGCTCCCCCTTTTAGTAACTCACAGGGGGCTTTTTTGTTGTCATCTCATGAACTTAGTGATGATTTAGCCATGATTTGGATTCATTATCCTGAATGAGCTGTGCTGTAACCGCCCCGGGTTCAGAGGTCAACAACAGGGAGGATCAGGGAGTGAACGTGGGGTTGTACCTCCTGACTTCCACAAGGAGGCGCTCCTTGTCTCTGAGGGCCTGAGTCAGGGCAGTCTGGGCCTCACAGAGCTGGGACTCCAGAGTTTGTCTCTGCAAAGAGAGGATTATGGGATTGCTTAGTGACAGGCGACACCTCGGCTTGCTGAAGGGTTTTAATGAATTCTAACATAATAGGTGTGGTTCCAACACCACTACACAACCCTGTGTACTCAGACACACCTCTGCTTTGTTTATGTAAAACTCTGGAAACACTGGTGGTCAGCTGTACTTAAGACATGCAGAAAAGAGTTTCACTGAAGATGTAAAACATAAAAAATAAAAAAAAGCAACTAACTCAGAAGTGCTACGTGCTCTAAACTGCACAGCTTTATACTGATTACTCTTTTCACAAGTATTAAACGTTTTTCACATTACATTAGAACATTAGCCGCGAACACAAAAAGAGGCTCCTGCAATGCATTTGAGACTTTTTTTTTTTTTTTTTCAAATACAGTAGTCCCTCTCTATTTTGCTGTTCGACTTTTGCGGACTAGCTATTTCGCAGTTTTTCCAAAGTAAGATTGTACACGAGAAAAAAATTGTACAGGACACATGATTGTCAACTTTAATATTACTCACGTGATGGGACAGTACTGGATACAGTACTGTACAATTTCATTTAGCCTTTATTTATCCAGGTTACAATAAAAAGTTAAAGAATAAATAAAGAAACTTCGGACAGGCACCGTCATTTTTGCAGTTTTCTCTCAATATATAATACTGTATCCCGCACATAACAACTACATTTCCCAGAAGCCAACAGGATACTGCCCAGAAGCCCCTTGGGAAAGTTTTGATCTGATCCAGAAAAAGTTTGGTGCTTATTCATACAGTGACTTCAGTGCCCAGCAGATGCAGAGAGCCGCACAGAACCCACCAGGAACCGGACCAGAACCGGACCTCCAGACTCATTAATCAATCTGAGAGCAGCTTGCCGGACCACGAGGACTTCCGACTCCGAGTGGGGACGAACTGCCCGTAGGTCCGATGTTCCACCGGGACTTTTTCATCCAGATTTTGACCCAATCAGACCAGAACCGAGCCGCTGTTCCTGCAGAGCTGGTGAGTAAAACTTTGCAGTACTGTAGTTAAATAGGTTTAAGAGTTTAGAACATTGTGGGCTTCGTCACTGCAGGGTAGGTCTGCAGAACAGAACCGAGCTGCTGTCCACTAATCCCTTAACTTCACATTTCATGTTTAACAAATAAACATCAAGTTATCTCTGCTAAATAAACTTTTGCTTTAGTTTAGTTAATTTAAATTTATTAGTTGACTGAACTGTTTTGGTTGTTTCAACTCAGAAATCTACGTCAATTTAACTTAAGTGTTAAATAAAGAATTAAAAAAACTAAAATAAATACATAGCAATTCTATTTCACAAATTTGCACTTATTGCGGGGCGGTGGGGGGGTCCAGAACCTAACCCCTGCGATAAACGAGGGACTACTGTATGTTCAAAGCTCAAGCCACAAGAGTCTCTGTGACTCATGCTAGGTAAGAGAACCCTCGTGAGCGTATGAGACGTTCTGCAAGTCGTTCACCGTCTAGACAGAAACATTCACAGACCAATCAGATACGAGCTTAACGTCTTCATTGTTCAGGTAGCATTTAATGAATATTCACACTTTCCCATTTGTAGAAAACATGGATGCTGAACTATTGTGCAGAACAACCAGATCTTGCATAAACATATCAGTTTAATGTCTGCAACACAAATATACAAATCTATTGTAACTTTTAATTAAACATATCTAGAAATAATCCCTGAATAACTTTGTACATCCCCATGAGACCATATGCTGAGCTATATCTGATCGAAGTGTCTTTCTCCTCCCTACCTCACTCCGATGTTGTGCAGAGTTGAAGCTGCTCGAGTCGGCCCGAGTGGTGAAGTCCAGCAGAGCAACATCGTGTTTAGTGTTTGAACTTTCAGCTGCAATCAGAAAGAAATGACCATGAGCCCCCTCTGCTCACCTGTCTGTAAAGCTGTGACAGTTGTTGTGGTTTTAAGGTTTAACACAATCATTTGTCTATTTTTTAAGATGAGGTCTAGCTCACCTTTGACTCTCATTATACCATCATCACTTCGCTCAAGCAGAAGCTGATCGATAACGAACTTAGCTGGAACAGGTTGGGGAGCTGTAGGGTAGATTCTGGGACCATCATCCTATAAAAACAAGACAATAAGTTCTGGTAATGTCACTCGATGTGGATCAATACGCTTCATGAATCAGGCTCTCTTTTCAGTGCAGCTACATGTACGAAAAAAAAGGTAAACCTCTGAAGCTTATTTACAAGTTACTACTGTAAATATGATAATTGAAATGTATTTTGCAGCTGCATTTTATATCACATTCAAAAAAAGTAGCTGGGGGGTCACTATATGACACAGTAAGGACAATAATGGCCTACCTTCATAATGATGGTGACGTTGTGCAAGTGCAACCTCATTGGCTGCCCGTCTGCACTGAACTCATCTTCCATGAAAGGACCGATGTTAGTCACTGTTGAGGCTAGCAGCTCTGCCTGACAGTCCTGAACTCGTACATCTAGAAACCCCGATGACTCAGCCAGAGCAGAGCGCTGAGCTGCAGACGGGCCCGTTTCTGCTCGCATGAGAAACACCGGAGAAGCCCTGCTACGCTGGCCGTCCTGCCTCTGGACTGGTTCATCTGCAGCTGCAGAAACGGAGATGATGGGACAATAAAACTGCAGCCACACCCGGCTAACTCACCAAAGCACGTTTTAGATTAAACAACATTTACAGCTAGAATCTAAAGTTTACATACGCTCATCAAAGGCATGAATGTCACATTAGTTTGGGGCTTTTAATTATATATTTTTTAAAAATCCAGAGTACAATAGTTATAAAAGATATAATTTCAATGATTTTTTTTAAATAATGAGCTAGATACACAAGTTGACATTTATTGTGGATTTTCTTTAATTTACTCAAGGTCAAAGTCAAACATATAGGCTCAATAAAGAGGAAAAAAATGAAACCAAAGGATATAAACCTATTATTTCCCATTGAACCTTGTCAAGTTTAGTTTTTTTAAACCCTTGGTTATGAGGCTTGTTTATCAGAATCAGAATAAGCTTATCCTTTTTTCAGAATACTTTTTAGAGATAGAAAAGGGGAAAAGGCCATGAGGATAGGATAGTGGTATTACAAAAAAGATCTCTTCACATCTTGTCCTTATCAGGACACAATTTAAGACATCAAAAAACTCTACTAGCAAGCACATTTATAAACCATTACATATGATGATAAGACTGAGATTTGTCCATGAAGCACTTCCAGATAGACCGTAGTCCTGATAAGATGTTGGTGTCAGCCAGTACAGCTCTGGTAGACAGATTGAGATAGACAAAGCTTTTCCTTAGTTTGCACATATCCCAGGAGAAATGTGATAAGTCGGCCTGCTTTGAGGCCAAACGGGGGAGTCAGATTCAGATAAGCCACAACTGTTGATTTTTTTCAGGCAGACTGTTTTTTTCACATCGGCCTTGAGTCCTGCTGGCACTTTCAATCCAAAATGGCCAGATTTGTGGACGTAGATTTGTGGGCGTTCCACTGGTCCGTGCTTATGAGCCCCATCCAAGGTCATCCCTAACATGCTGGCGAGTCCCAGAAACCGCAGGTGGCCTGCGAGTCTCACAAATCACTTCCATCTTACGGTTTAGCTCGTAAATCAGCAGATTTTGAGTCCTTGAAGCACGAACCAAACCTTCACACAGACTCTGCGGTTTTGCCATGGCTGAAACTGTTGCTACCGTCTTCTTCAATAACCGATAACATACGTATCCGCTGGTGCCAAAAAGCAAAAACCCTGCCATCATGATTCCAATTATATAAACATCTTAGGCGTCCTCCTGAGACAATACAGAAAGGCACATCAGCTCCCAAACTCCCCATTGATCCATGACGTATAATGACGCATGTGTCTCAGTTGGGCATGAGGGCTCTACAGGACCCTGTCGCTTTGTGGAAAAGATTCTATCGATTGCGTTGAAAGTCCAGCTGACCAGATCCATGACAGTAGTTTTTCTTTTTGGAAGATGTGTAAATAGGAGCTCCGATAGACAAGACAGAGAGCAAAAAAGCAGGAGGAGGACGGAAGAGGGATGAAAATGTGTCCGCCATGCACGAGAGCGAGTGAGGAAAAGCTAAAATGTGTTTAAAACACATTACTGTTTTTTTAAAGGATTAATAAAAATCCAAAACAATTTTTTTAATTTGACAGTCATAACCCAAGTTACCTTGTACAAGACCAGCCAGAACATCTGATTGCCTAACGTTGCCCATCTGCACAGGGGTTAGATTGTGTGCTTGAACAGCCACAACCTGGTCTTCTCCTCGTACCTCCATGGTACAAGCTGTACCACTCAAGATCAGCAGCAACACTGAGGACTGTAGAGCAGAGCATCAGGTTTTAACCACGGGCTATAAAGATTTAAATTGAAACATTGAATTTTTGGTGGATTATTGAAGGGAACACTGACATATGATAAATCTTTCAAAAAACTAAACTAGCCGTATTGCAGTAACTCACCATGTCCTCAGACATGTCCTCTATACTGTGGGAGAGAGAGCTGCTCAGATCAGCCAATGAGCCTCCCTCTGTCCCCGTCACTGGGGCTGGGCTGCCTCGACTGCCTGCAGGGGTGTTGTTGGGACGCGCAGACTCCACGCCCGATTCTGAAAACACAACATAAACTTTACTTGAATGCCACCGTGTTACCTAGAGAGGTTTTGTTGAGGACTTGGCAGTTTTTAAGACACCTGAGTCCATGAGAACAACAAAGTTGTCACTGAAGTCACTATCAACAGACAGATTTTCATCAGGCAAGCTGCCGTCCAAAATAGCACTGTCAAAGGACTGCTGGGAGTGTGACTGCTTCATGGACTGGAGGCGTGACGAGGGAGAGGATTCTTCTAAACGGGGAATCTGTTCCCTATGAACACACAATCAGTCCTTAAAACACTCAGGCAGCATGTGGTGCAGTATGGGATTCAGACGCTGCCCAGCAGGAGGAACCTTACCTGGTCTGAGCGGTGAACAACTTGCTCATGCCTGAACCCCGGCTCAGCATGCTGAATGCATCTTTCGTTATCGAAAATGCCCCTTTGGTCAGGTCCAACGAGGCACTAATGGCATCTTTGGTAACATCCTTGGTGACATTGATTGCACTCGACAGCTCTCCCTCCAGGCTGAAGGTTGACGGTTCGCGTGAGATGACAGGGGAGGGTCCGGGTGAGAAGGGAGGTGAGAGACCAGGGGCGTCTTCCTTTGCCGTTGGTCCGTTGCCCTCTACCTCCTCCTCCACAGCCTCAAATGCCTCCTCAACCATGCCATCTTGTTCATCAAACACAATCACTGCTGCTGTAATGGAGGACATCCCGTTTTCTAACCCACTGTCCTCCAGGACAACAGAAAGGTGTGTCGGGGAAAAGTCAGAGTCTGTCATGCTGGGGCTGTCTGATTCTGGAGAGTGGGGAACCTCTCCTTCTGGCTCAAAAGAGGCTGGTGGCAAAAGGAGACCCAGTTTCACCGAGTCCACGAAAAGAGAAAGACAAACTGTGGGTGGTTGTGTCTTCTGGCCGTGAACCTGTTCAACACCTCGTACATCCCGGCTCAGCTCGGCCCCCAACCGGGCCATGGCATCCTTCATCCTCAGAAGGGCAACGTACTGGTAGTGGTTGAGCCACATCCTCAGTGGAGATATGGTGTGAGCCAGGAAGTGAAAAGAAGCAAACAAAGCTTGATGCTGAGCCCCCTGCTCTGAGGACTTCACATATGCTCCGTTGGGACTAGAAGGGGAAGACAAGGGCTTATCTTTGAAGGCAGACGGTTGACACATCCACACAGTCATGGCAAAGGGCTCAATAAAAGGTTGCGTTTTGCCTTTGGGAAACCGCCGCGCTCCATCAAAACCCAGGGCAACACGGGACAGGCTAAGAGACCAAACGTCCTGAGATCGTAGCTGTTTTCTGTCCAGAGGTTGGGCTTCCGTTTCTCGAGAGTGCTGAAGGAAGGTGGACGGGAGGGGGTGGAAGGCACTCAGGTCTCTGGGGTAAGGACAAGGAGGTGTAGGCAGGAAGAAAGAGCAGCTGGCAAACTTCTCACAGGTACTGCGGAGGTCCTCTTTGGAGCCATGAGGGCAGTGGCGGGTGTTGCTGAGAACAATTTGGGGCATGACAACTGAAAGTGACTGAGGACGTTCTGGATGGTCCAGTATGGATGAATCCAGAGGAATTATCAGCTGGGGGGAAAAAGAAACACCTTAGTTGTGTGAAACTAAAATACAAGATGAATGAAAGAAAAGGCCATAAAGAAAGTAAACTGAGTACCAGTCGAGTATGTACCTTCAACTGAGCAGCATCCAGGCGGACGTCCACGTGCTCTTCAGCCTTACTACTATCTTGCAAATGGTAGAATGCTTTGACTTGGTCCAGGGTATGAAGAAGACCTCTGGAAAATATATTGATCCACAGCATGCTGGCTGGGTCCACACATAGCTGGAGGCTGTTTAACTGGGCATACAGATTTGAAGTGGGCGCTAGGAGAAAGTAAGAAGTAAAATACACCAATAAGAGATACTGATGTGATCTGTTCTTAAACATTACTGACCAACTAAACATTAAATAACTAATACAGAAACTCCAGTTTCACTGCTGTCAACGGTCTTAATTATTGGGCCAACGCAGATATAATGAATGGTAAATGGACTGTATTTATATCGCAATCAAGATACACAACGCTCTTTACAACACAATCTGTGTCCTCATTTACCCATTCATACAGCACTCTACTAGATCTATACAAAGAATAATTAGTGCTTTATCACATTCATTCACTGATGGGACACACATCGGAGGCAATGAGGGGTTCAGTGTCTTGCCCAGGGACACTTCATAATGTGAATGCTGGTGGAATCAAATCCCCAACTCTCCCATTGGAAGAAGACTGCTCTAACCACTCATCCACAGCTGCCCTCTATATGATATATGTGTATGTGAATAAAAACTATTAACAAACAGTGAGTAAAATAGGTTTTACCAATGAAAATGGGGTGCACTAATGTCTCCCATCACTGAGAGACTTGAATAGTGAATGTTAGTTTTCAGTGAGTGTTTATCCACGACCAGGCGTGATGGTACAGCCAGGGGGTGGCCAATGGTGGCCTTAGCTACCACAGATTAATCTATGGTGGCCTTGGCCACCATAGATTAATCTTCATCCACCTCAGCCATTTGAGGAAACTATACTTTTAAGCAATATAAAGATTAGGAAGCATGGTTTCCTCAAATTATATATATATATATATATATATA